ATCCTTGTCTGCTTTTCTTTTTCTGGATTGTATTATGTAGTCATGCGATGTTTTTTTGTAGGTCTTGTTTTTCAATCTAATAGTATAATATGTTTTTTAATCATTTTGGTACTTTTCCTTCATCAGAAACTGGATCTACGAGTAGGTGATGCCTTGCTCATGGAAGATGACAATAAAAAAGATTCCCCATCTTTGATTTCAGCACCCGTTACGGATCCTTGCTATGAGTTCAAAAACAGAAGATCTTTCAGCCGGAGGAATGATGAGTTCTCACCATCTAGCCGTACTTTCACCGAGTCAACTAAAGTGGGTGAACTTATTAGTTGGAGTAAACTGCCGGCAGTATGTTCCACTTTTTTCATTTACTTAACCTTTTTTAAATCTCATTTCGTTATATTTTCAGAGAAAAAAATTCCTTCCAGTCTTTAATCAAATTTCTCTTTCTAGCTTGACGGTTGGATGGTCTTAGAACCTCATAATTAGGGCTGCAATTTCAGTCATCTTTATCTTTTTATTTTGTTGTCCTTTTTAATATATTTTTATGATGGTCTAGTATCAAGTCTCTGCAGCTTTCACTCTCAACGATCAGAAAGTAGTTTCACTCTCTTATCCTCAATTCCACTTTATTTCCATTTTCTAATTTACCTATTTGCAGCTGAAATTTTACAACCCCTGTCACCAATACACAGGATTTGTGATCTATATAAATTTTAAACCATAATAAAGTAGCATACCATCCTGCACCATTTCTGTAGTGAATCACAATCAGAATTGCCTTCTTTATTCGTGTTTTTATAGTTTTCTTGAATTGCTATTGGTATTGTAATGATAAAAGCTAAGACTTCTGTGGTTATAGGGTCGGATGACATCAGATCAGATGGACCTTCTTGTTGAGCAAGTTAAGATGCTTGCTGGAGAGATTGCATTTAGCACTAGTACCCTGAAACGCCTTGTGGATCAGTCTGTAAATGATCCTGACAGCTCAAAAACTCAGGTATTATTTTCCTGCCTTACATCTATAGCACATCTTAATTCAGCGGCAGTTCCGATGGATATTCCTAATGGTAGGAAGAATTGGGGGGTTTGTTGGTTTTCCTGGGTAGCACGCTTTTCTTTTGCAAAGCAGACAAGCTGAACTGAACTAATATTACTTATTGTTCAATCTATTTATAAATTTTAAAACTATTGGAGTGTCTGTGAGGTTATAAGACTTGTGACTGTGCAATCTGGACTAAACTTTGAGTTCTTGTGTTTCCAATATCTAACTACTCAACAATAAACTTAGCTTAGTTTTTATAAAGGTCTTGATTAACTTTATCCAAACTCAGATTCAGAATTTGGAAAGGGAGATTCAAGAAAAGAAGAGGCAAATGAGGGTTTTAGAGCAACGAATAACTGAGAGTGAAGCTTCAATTTCTAAAGCATCATTTGTGGATATGCAGCAGGTATTGTCGTTATCTGTTTATTTTAATTTTTTTTAAAGATTATGTTAAATTATTTGTGAGGATTTCATTCCCATTGGCTTTAGTTTATCTAATTCTTAACGCTTTCTTGTTGCAACAGAAACTTATGAAATTTATGACAGAGTGTAATGAGAAGAGTTTTGAGCTAGAGGTTAGCACTGTTCCATTCTTCTGATTCATGGAGTCGAAGTAAATTTCATGGGAACTGTTTTGCCATCGACTAAGGCTTGTTAAACAGTGACTTGTGCGGCATTGATAAACAGGATTATTTCCATTCTGTGTAATAGATTTTATTCTTCTCCTTCATGCAGATAAAATCAGCAGATAATCGAATCCTCCAAGAACAACTGCAAAACAAGGTCAGAGCCTTGTGCTTGATGTCTAGTTTTCTCAATTAATATAATGGCTTATTATGTCCTTATACAATTTTGTTTTTCTTGCATTTGGTTCTCTATGCGCTTTTGGCATCTTTATCAACCTGTTGATAGTTACACCATTTATAATTATGGAGCTATCTTTTGCTTATTGTTAAGTGTTGTTGGCAGTGTTATGAGATCGAGGAATTGCAAGGGAAGGTGAATCTCCTGGAGCAGCCATTGGCATCTCTCTCTAGTGACAAAATATCATTGTCATCCAAACAAGGAATATCCGAAGAATACGTTGATGAGTTAAGAAAAAAGGTTCAATCTCAGGTAATTTACATATTGCTGCAATTGCCCTACTCTTACTGACTGTAGCTGTCTGCTGTCTCAAATTTGGACTATTCTAACTTCTAACTTGTGTTTATCCCTGCAGGAGATTGAGAATGAAAAACTGAAACTAGAACAGGTGCAGCTTTCTGAGGAGAACAGTGGGTTGCATGTCCAAAATCAAAAACTTGCCGAGGAAGCTTCTTATGCTAAAGAATTAGCATCTGCTGCTGCTGTTGAGTTAAAGAGTTTGGCTGGGGAGGTGACTAAGCTCTCAATGCAAAATGCAAAACAAGAGAAGGAATTATTGGCTGCTCGAGAGTTGGCACACTCTCGAGGTTTTGGTAATCCGGCTTTAAACGGTGTCAACCGGAAGTATAATGCCAGCATGAGACCTGGACATAAGGGGAGGCTCTCTGGCCGCTCTTATGACTTTTCTGGAGTGGCTAGTGCTGACTTTGAGTCCTGGGATCTTGACCCACATGATCTAAAGATGGAGCTACAAGCTAGGAAACAACAGGAGGCAGCTCTTAAAGCTGCTCTAGCTGAGAAGGAATTGGTAGAAGATGAATACCGGAAAAAGGTTGAAGAAGCAAAGAAGAGGGAGGAAGCTCTGGAGAATGATTTAGCCAACATGTGGGTGCTTGTTGCTAAGTTGAAGAAAGGAGCTGCTACGCTCGATGGTAATATTGATGAGCAGCGTAGTAGTGGTGCAGACAATGTTGAAGTTCAGAAAGCAAACAACATAGAGAGCAACAATATCCTGAAAGAGAGACAAGCTTCAGAAGTGTCATTGAAACCAGCAAATGAAAGACCTAAGGAAGAACCTTTGGTTGTTCGCCTGAAGGTTCGTTCCTCTGCCAACTTTTCACTACCTTTAATTTTTCTTGAATTTTCCATATCCAATGTATATCTAGAGAAAGTATGGGGATGTAATCCTCCAAGGATTCCCCCAATGAAAGGAAGAAGAAAGGAAAAAACTAAACATACCTATGTACAAATCACGTTATTTCTAGAAGTTAATGGATTTTCATGGCCAAACGCAAACTTAAAAGTCTTTAATACTTACAGGCTCGAATGCAAGAGATGAAGGAAAAAGAGCTCAAGTCCCTTGGGAATGGAGATGCCAATTCCTATCCGTTGTAAAGTATTATTTGAATCACCAACTGCTGCAGCTCTTCTCCTGGCTTTTCTTTTTCGTCGTAAGTGATTCTCTAAGCTACACTCTTTTCCCCTTTCTCTGCACTTGAGTGCTTATATTTTCGGAAATGTTCATGTTGTCCATTTTGCGGTATGTAAATCGTGTTCGCTTTCTTGTTCCGAGTGTCCAATTCATCGTCTGGAGTTGCAGATAGGCTTTTGGCATTTCACTTCATGTTACAATTATTCATACCCTCCCAAATGAAGGTCCTGCAAATTATCCCACACTCGTCTTTTATTCCGAGATCGAATAGAATTAAGAATTCATATGATTCCTTAATATATGGAGAAGAAACTTGGGACTTATCTTTGTCCGATATGTCCGATATTCACAGAGTCCGACAACAGATTCTCGTTCTTATTGAAAAGAGGCGTTCTGATCATGCAATTTTGACCTTTCCCCCCTTCTTTTGCAGGATTGGGATCGCCTGTTTCCTATTTTCGATGTGATAAGAGCATACATTTCTTTAATTTATCTGTGAATTGTTTTAAAGAAGTATATCACAAGTTTGTTCGCTACTTCAATGAGAAGCTGTAAAATAATCAAGAGATTGAAGGTTCCTACCATTTAAAAAAAAAGTTTCATTTCTTATTATTCATAGCGAAGGTTGTCTTTTAAAACTTTCAATTGTTTTGTACAGATAAGATTTGTGAAATGTTGTTTTGTTCATAAATCTCGTCGATGATTAATATGTTTTTTTGCATATACCGAATTACTTTACAATTACATATACAAAATCATATACCATATACTTATAACATTTTTATTTAGTAATTCGATGTTCTACTCGTTTTTAATGTTATACAAATTTAATAAAAAAATTATAGGATATTAATTGAACTTAAATTAATTTTTTTAGCAATTTCTACTAAGAAAGGGGAAGGTAATTTTTACTCTTAATGGGTATTGAACTCACAATTTAAGGGAAAGATAATGTTGTCAAATTAAGAGTATTTAACCACTTACTCTAAAAATTATTTACATTGAAATTCAACTTAAAGGAGGGTAGATTATAAATTTGGTAACTAAACTTCACTCTCTCTTATTTCACTCATTGTACTTTAAATTTTTTTAGTTTTCTTACTCAACTTAATACATTGGGTCTTTTTGGTCACTCAGTTGTTTTCTCACTAACGACGTTATAAATGGATTGTTATATAGATGCAAAATGATGTCATTTTGGTGGAAAATTTATTTTTTTTAAAACGATGTCGTTTTAACGCTTTAACTCTTTATCGACGGACTGAACAAAAAACATAATATATTAAGTTCAGTGAAGAAATTGAAAACTTTTAAAATTCAGTAAGCAAAATAGGAAAGAAAATAAAGTTCAATGAGAAAAATAGGAGAGAGTAAAGTTTAATGATGAAATTTGTAATTTACCCTTTAAAAGATGTAAAGTGCTGGAATTAGAAGGGAGAAAGACATTGAAAGACCAAACGGATTGAATATTCCGCGTCTGCATCTAGAACACGGATTTCTACCAAAAAAAAAATCGCTGCATTTCTTGAGATATAAAGAGCTGATCTAGCCACTAAAAAAGCTTTGATTGTCGACCAAGCGGCAGTTTCTCGTCCTCAAAATTTCACGTAACACAAATTGGTCGAGATGAAAAACAACTCTGCTAATAATTTCTCAGAAAATGTATCAATGGAAGTAACCGTTAATGGCGGCAGAAGATGAATTCGGTTCAAGGAAATCATCGACGCGCCAACCAGGCAAAGTTTCCATCAAGTACTCCGATATACTCGTTGTCGAAACCGAAACTTCATCGTCAACGGCATAATAATTAGGTTCAACACTGACTGTCGTCAATGGGTTCTCGATCGAAGAAGAAAGCTTAACGCCCGTGAGAAGAAACCTGTTATGCTCCATAGTATATTCATTGGCTCTGTGAATTGGAACATCACATTCTCTGCAAAGAAGTGCTCGATCTTGTTGACAAAACACAAACGCCCGTCTCTCCTTTCAAGATAAAATAACAAAACTAAACCCCAGAAACAGTAGAATTCAGTATGATTCAAAAATATTTTTTAGGGTGGACGGAAGTATAAACATAAACTTTTCGTATAGATAGATACAAATAAAATTTCAAATAATCACCCGATAAAGTAAACTACTAATATAAAGAAATTTGTATTTCTGGATGATAACGTGTCTATCCTGAACAAAGGTTACATCCGCTACCGGTAGAACTGAAACTCATAATGATGGATTTAGTTTACCCGACAGATATCACAGAGTGGGGATTTCGTTGGATGAAGAAGAGAGAAACGAGTGTGTTTTCCGGCAAGATTATTCGCATGGTGAACACTGCGATCACAGGCTCCACACAAAGCAGCTTCATCGGCCGAGCAAAACATAACGGCAGCTTCTTTATCGCACACATCGCATAAAATCTTCATCCCTTTGAATCAAATTAATGTTCTTTCTTTTATTTTTACAAACCAATATCTAATCTTCCTACTCACTTTGCTCTATAGATTCAAACATCACATCTTTTATGTGTACATATTTAAAGTTTGAATAAATTACAAATTTGGTAACCAAATTTTACTCTCTCTCCTATTTTACTCGCTGTACTTTAAATCTTTTCAATTTCCTCATTGAACTTAATAGGCAAAAGGGTAACTTTTATCCTTGTAGCAGACTCAATTTATCATTTTTGTCCCTATCGTTAGTCCTAGAAATTGCTCAATTGTATCAATGTTTAAAATATTTATTATTGTTTAAGATTTAGAATTTATGGTTTTAATCATTTTTGTCCCTATTGTTAGTCCTAGAAATTGCTCAATTGCATCAACGTTTAAAATATTTATTATTGTTTATGATTTAGAATTTAAGGTTTGGGTATAAGACGATACAATTAAACAACTCTGAGGGCTAAATTGATGTGAAAATACGATAGAGGTGAAAATAATAAATCAGGTTTACTACAGGGGCAACATTGACCCTTTTGTCGAACTTAATACAAGTTTTTTGGTTATTCATCCATTTTCTCACTAACGACGCGTTATAAATGGGCTGTTATATAGATGTAAAATGCTTCATTTGGTGAAAATTTTATTTTTTTTAAAACAACATCATTTTAACGTCATTAACTGTTTAACGGCAAAGTGATACAAAAACTTAATGTATTAAGTTCAATAAAGAAATTGAAAACTTTTAAAGTTTAGTGAGTAAAATAGGAGAGAGGGTAAAGCTCAGTGATGAATTTGTAATTTACGCTTTAAGTTTTTTCCCGTTTAATGATAAACTAATCGCCCATAAAATTCCCATTTCTTTAGTCAAATAATTTGAACAATAATGTACATTCACACTACGCGTCAGAAAACAACTTTTTTAAGCTCAATATATGAATGTGATATTGCTATTAAAATATAACATCCCTAAATTTAATAAATTAAATTATATTGGTAGCTTGTTTCATTTTGAAATTAAGAGTTAATTGCATTATATTCCTTAAACTATGATCACCATTCTAAATTGGTCTATAAACTTTTTAATATTCTAATTTCATCCTCAAACTATGACCCTCATTCTAAATTGGCCCCCAAACTTTTAATTTTATCCCAAAATTCATCCAAATATATAATTAGTTTTAACCACAGTTTAACCTAAACGTTATTTTTTGAAACATATAATAATATAGATTTTTATTAAAATGGAATACAATTAGTATATACATATAATTTGGGATGAAATTGAAATGGTGAACAATTTTGAGGACTAATTGAGAATGAAGGATATAGTTTGGGATGAAAATAAATTGTTCAAAAGTTTGAGGATAAATTTAGAATGATAATCATAGTTTAAGGATGAAATTGAAATATTTAAAAGTTTAGGGACCGATTTAAAAAAAGGATCATAGTTTAAAGACATATGATTCAATTAACTCTTAGATTGATTTGAAACTTTTATCATAATATTTCATTTTATATTAAAATTATAAATATTTATAATTTCATTTTTCTAAAAATATTTTAAAAAAAGACCAAAGTTCAGTTGAAATGAAATGGGAAACCTAATACATGAGTATCGAGGAAATCGGCTGAGATGGAAAAGGACAAATAACACCTTTTAAGAGCTGGATATGGATGATCTTGTCTGCTGTGAAATATTATTTTAAAAATTGTTAAAAACAAAAGGTAAATATATAATTTGCTACTTAAATTTAGTTTAATGTTTAATTTTATACTTATTTTCTATAATATTTACTATCTGATCTATAGATTAATTAATCAAGATCGAGTAATGTAGAGGCCTACGACTCTCTCAATATATTTTAGTCTATTCACAATACGAGGGTTTAAACTCTTACACGATTACCTAATTTTGTTTTTGCCCAATTATAAACTTGATTTTTTTATTCAAATTGATATTTGAAGTTGAATTTTCAATCCATATTGATAAATGCATTTTCAAACCAACTTGAACCAAAACGTTACCTAATTGAAAATAAAAATTAAGTGCCAAATTGAATGTTAATACTAAGTTCAAGTACCAAATGCATGTTTACCCAGAAATTAAGTAGTGATTTCAACTAACATACTTGGGCTGAATTGCTCGTGTGGGGTGTTGAAAAAATAATTGACTCTTGTGAGGTCTTATCGAAGTTATTTTTTGAGATGATGTGATCGACACATTAATGTGAAAGACGCAAAAATACAATAGATCTTTTTCATTTTTCACGCTATTGGAATGTTACCTAATTGAAAATAAAAATTAAGTGCCAAATTGAATGTTAATACAAAGTTCAAGTACCAAATGCATGTTTACCCAGAAATTAAGTAGTGATTTCAACTAACATACTTGGACTGAATTGCTCGTGTGGGGTGTTGAAAAAAATAATTGACTCTTGTAAGGTGTTATCGAAATTATTTTTTGAGATAATGTGATCAACACAATAATGTGAAAGACGAAAAAATACAATAGATCTTTTTCATTTTTCATGCTATTGGAATGCCAAAACTGTTAAAACTACCAGAGGAACAAAGCAGGAGTCGCACTATGGTTGTCACATTTTTCGAAAGATGCATTGTGTTTACGATTTTTTCTGATAAACACCGTAACAATCACATTATATCAAAAAAATAATTCTAACCAAACCCTAGCCAATAATCTTTTTCACTACCCGCAGGAGCAATTTTGCCAACATATTTGCATTAGAAAACACACCCAAAAAGGCAAAAAGTATGCACAACTTTAATTGCACTTTTAACTTGCCTCGGTTTCCAAAAGAAGTAAATATCTCAAATTCCAATGCTTCCTCAACCCTCACACGGTGGATAGATTTTTGTTGCATAAACAACCCACAGTCATGGAGCCTCCATACGATTTCAGATATTTTTTAAAGGGTAAACTATATCAAATATCATCAATCTTTAGCCATTGTATCATTTATACCACTTAGTTCTCAATTTTACCAATTATAACATTGAACTTCGATTTTCGTTTCAATTATACTATTAAATCGTTAAATCATTAATGACACGATGATGTGGCTGACGGATGCCGACATGGCTGGCGATTCTCGGCGTATGCACCTCGCCAAAACGACATTGTTTTGATTCGATTGTTAACGATTTAACGACACAGTAATATAATTGAAACGAAAATTTAAAAATTCAATAATATAAATGATACATCACCTAAAAATTAATGATATATGGTGTAGTTTACCCTTTTTAAAAATATTCACCCTAATTCATTTTCATAATAATAAATACTTTTACTTTATAATTAATTATAAATGTTATTAACAAATAAAGTAACAGGTTAAAAAGTTTGGGGATCGAAATAAAAAATTCAAACTCAATTAATTTTCAAGAGGAGAACGATGAAAAAAGCACACACTTTGCAAAGTGTATTTACAACTCTATTCCTTTTAAAAAAATTAACATTTAATTTTATCTTAAGTCATTCAATGAATTCTTACGGTCTTATTTTTAAATTTAAAGTTAAGATATACGAGACGGTATTTCGATATTAATTTTTATAAAATCTTTAAATTTATAAAAGAAGAATATATATGTGGGCTGATACGCTAATTTTAATTTCTCGAGTGCTCGAAAATGGGTTGAAAGACAACTAGACAACTAAACGTTGATATACTATACAAGTATATTTGTTTCAACAATAACTAAATTATTATATTAAAAAATAAATATTGTTATTTTATTATAAAACTAATTGAAATTTTTAAAAAAAATGTAAGGGTAAATTATGTGTTTAGTATCTAAACTATCAATTTGATCCATTTTAGTACCTAACTTTTATTTTTTTCAAAATCATACCAAATGTTTAGTTTTTGTTTCGTTTTGGTCACTAAAGTCTAATTTTTTTAATTTAATTACTTAACTTTCAAATTACTCCTAATTTAATCACTTCAACTTTCAAATTTATTTTTTTAATTATATATTAATAAAATAATAAAAATTTCATGTCAAAAAATTATTAGTAAAATAAATTAGAGTGATTAAAATAGGAGCAAGTTGAGTAATTAAATTGATTTTTTTTTTACATTTTGGTACCAAAATAGTATTGAGAAGATAGTTGAGTAATGAATAATGTAATTTACCCATAAAAAATACAATGTCGTTACAGCGAGGTACGAAAATGAAAGAAAAACTAAACGTTAGGTATAATTTTTAAAAAATTGAAAGTTTAAGTACTAAAATGAACAAAAAATGATAGTTTATATACTAAATATAAAATTTACCCAAAATGTAAAAACAATAATTAATATTGGAGTTTGATGAAGGTTAAGAATTACGACATTCAATGGATTTGGGTAGTTCTGCGGTGCGGCGACTAAAAAACGGCTAATATACGGCGTGACCGGTTAAACAATTGACCGGTTAAAATTTATACCGGTTATGTTATATTATTTAACCGGAAATATTATAAAGTACAATAACATACTAGGTAGCGCTTATATAATGTAATAGGTAGCGCTTATATTTACCTATTTTATAAGTAATCCGGTATATTTATACCGATAGTATTGCAAATTTACCTATTACATTATATTATATTGAAAGTGTCCATACTTTTTATAAAAAGGATCGATACTTCTTTTAAAGTTATGTAATTTATGTTTCAATTTTTTTTAATAGTGTTTCATGTTTTCCACCTACAATATTAATTTAATAATTTCATTTGCACAAAAAATTATTTGATTTTTTTATATTTTATAAAATATTATTTAGAATTTTTAATTTAATAATAATATATATCGTAACGTAAAAATTAAATCATTAGACGCCTATAATTACTAAATTAATATCTTAAAACTCACTCAAAGATAACCTTAAATTAATGTTTTCCACAGTGAAAAAAGTATGGACACTTTTATAAAAAGGATAGACACTTTACAATATAACCACTACCTATTACATTATAT